TTGCTATACTAGGAACTGCACATATCCTTAGAAAGCTTCCTGCACGGTATCCTTTGGACTTTGATGAGTCTTGAAAACATCTGTAAACCGGCTTAGACCGTGATCAGCAAACAACAACAATAACAATAATTATTATTATTGTTATTGTTGTTGTTGTTATGGTCATCATCATCATCGTAGTCCTCGTTATTAGTCGTTGAAAAAAGGCATTTATGGTCTGACAGACTAAATTATTGCAAAAAATAATAATAATAATAATAATAATAATAATAATAATAACAATCATAATAACAATAATAATAATAAGTATATTTAAACATGAAAAAGCAGGTATTAGCGAAAAAATAAACGGAAGATGAATTATGGTGGAATGATAGACAGACGGACGACTGGATGATGGGATGGATGGATGAATGAGCGAAGGAACGAATGAACGAATAAAAGAGCAAACTAGCAAGTGTATGAATGAATGAATGAATGAACGAACAAATGAATGAATGAATGAAAACGAACTAAAAATAGAAGGCTTTACTCACATTATAGCGGGAATGTAATTTTACTGAGAAATTGAATTAAAATTTTTAATTAACTGGCAACTGTGTTATGTGATTAAATGAATGAAATAAAAAAGAAATGACTGAATGAATGAAATGATTGGAAAAGGAATGCAGGAATGAGTGAATGATTGAATGAAAGCATAAGCAAATCATCGAACGAACGAACTAATGAAAGATAAACGAGTTAATATGTGTATCAATAGATGATAAAATGAATGATTGATTGATTGAATGAATGAATGAGTGAGTGAGTGAGTGAGTGAGTGAGTGAGTGAGTGAGTGAGTGAGTGAGTGAGTGAGTGAGTGAGTGAGTGAGTGAATGAATGAATAAACGGTTATAGCTGCTAGAGACAGGCCTTAAGTGCTTTTGCAACGACACGCTGCGATCAACAGCATGATGATGACGTTGTTTATGAGGTTTATGTTGTTTTTGGTGACGTGTATATTGTTGTTGTTGTTGTTTTTATTATTGTTGTTATTGTCATCATCATCGTCATCGTCATCATCGTCGTCATCGTCATCATTAGCGCGCGCTAAGTAGGTACAATGAGTACGATGTCTAAACGCTGCTCAACAAATTGCACAAACTTCGACTTTCATCATCATCACCGTCACCATCACTAACATCATCATCATTATCTTCGTCATCGTCATCATCATCGTCGTCATCATCGTCATCATTATCAGTATTCCCATCATCCTTAGAGTGCACACCATCAAAATTGAAAAAAGTTAAACTCTTCATTTCATATTATGTTTCCATTCGCCAGGTAGGTCTACTGTTGCAAAGTCACCAAGCGAGGTTTTCCAAAAGTAATTGTAGTAAGAGTAGAAATAAGTAGTAAGTACTACAACTGCTGCCAGAGCCATCTCCATCATTGTCATCGTAACTCTATCATCTTCATCGTTAACATCACAATCTCACCAGCCATCAATTAATTCACCAGTGCATATAATGTTTATAATGGAATGACGAGTACTTAAGTACATTTGTACTTAAGTACGTACTTAAGTACAAATGTAGTACTTAGATACTTATACTTAAGTACATATGAAAACCTGTACTTAAATACTTATACTTAAGTACATTTTTCAGTACTTGTACTTATAAGTAATAAATTTTTCCTGTAAGTACCAGAAAAATTTTAAGCAAAAATAAGATAATGTCAACATTTAAAAATTGAAAACTGTGATGAAAACACACACACACATTTTCACATTGACATTCTTGTTTATCTCTCTTATCAACATTTGTTCTTGTTTAGTCATGGATAGCGGGATGTTAAGATAACCATTGGCTAATTGAGTCATTAAAAGGTGGTTAACTCACATCACTCTGACATCTATATATCTATATCATAGATGTTGATGATGATGATGATACAGAAATGACTCTAGTTGAGATTGGTGATAAGTTTTTGGAAAGTAATATAGATGACAGCTCCGGAATTTATCTTCCTTCTCATGTATCTTGCTTTTCACACACTCTAAACTTGCTTGCTACAACTGATGCAAGTAAAGCTTTGAATAATGATTCAAACTACAAAAGATCAGTATCCAGTAAGTGTGTCTCTCTCAGCACCGCATCACACCAGAGTTCAAAAGCTGCTGAAATTGTGCATGAAATCTTAGGCAGAACAATACCCAAACCGAATGGGACACGCTGGAATTCTGAATTTGACTGTTATAGCATTATATATAGTCTTCGCGATAAAGTAAATGTTGTGATGGAACGTTTGCAGCTGCCGAAGTTCAGCAATATAGATTTGAGTTTTCTTAATGAGTGGTTGGAACTGATGAGACCAATTTCACTAGCATTGGACAAGCTCCAAGGTGAGGTTTCAATGGAGTCTTATTTTGGTGCTGTCTTACCAACTATATTTGTTATACAGCGAAAACTGCAATCTTTTACTCCATCGTACACTTCAGCTCTTGTTTCTGTTCTTCAATGTGGCATGAATAAACGCTTTGGCGATATAATTGACTTTAAAGATATTTCAAGCAACAGCAAGATGAGAGCATTTGTTGTGGCTTCGATCAGCCATCCGTTTTTTTAAAATCAGGTGGATAGAATCATCAGTTCGTGAGCAAGTTGAAGACTTGTTTCTAGCAGAAGTGGTCAGAATGAGCAATTCTTCAACAGTTTATGAAGACAGAAATACTAGAGGTTGTACTAGTGCAGATTTTTATTGTTTCCACGAACCAAGTTCCGAATCACGATCGAATGAAAAAGTTGAAGGACTGCAATATCTTAGTGATCCTTCATATGATATGGAACAACTCAAAAGGTAATCAATATTTTTCTGTAATATATTATATATGTATAATATGTATATGCTTGATTTTCTAATACATTTTTATTCTCAAGTATTAATAACAAATTAATAATTTGCTATTTCGGTTAACAACTATATTATTGTTCCTTAGGTATCCTGCTGTCGCACAAGTGTTTTTGAAGTACAATGCCACTGTGCCATCATCAGCACCTGTGGAACGTATATTTAGCCAGGCTGGAATGATTCTCACTCCTAAAAGAAATCGTTTAAGTGATAAATCATTTGAAACTTTACTTTTACTCAAAAAGAACAAACTCTTTTATTGATGTAAATAAATTACTGTAAATAATGAGTTGATTTCTGAGTTTAATAAATTTATAAATATTTCAAATTAACCATGGTATGTACTTAGGTACTTATGTACTTAGTACTTATACTTAGTACTTATAAGTATCAAGTATACAATTTGTTTTGATACTTAGTACTTATACTTAAGTACTTTTATTACTGAGTACTTAGTACTTATACTTAAGTACATTTTTTGAGTACTTACGTCATCACTGGTTTATAACCATTAGAAGATAGTGAACAAACAAACTGGTGATGAACAAGCGTACGAACAAACGAACGAACAAACGAACGAACGAACGAACGAACGAATACACAAACCATTATGCAAACAAACATGTAAACATGCAGCCAAACTTGAAAACAACAGAATGCATACGAAGCAATGAAATGCGAGAGGGAAGATGTAGAAATGCAATGGGCGGCATCGTGCGGCTTTTAATTAAAAAAAAAAACAAAAATGAATGAATAGATGAATGGATGAATGAATGAATGAATGAATGAATGAATGAATGAATGAATGAATGAATGAATGAATGAATGAATGAATGAATGAATGAATGAATGAATGAATGAATGAATGAATGAATGAATGAATGAATGAATGAATGAATGAATGAATGAATGAATGAATGAATGAATGAATGAATGAATGAATGAATGAATGAATGAATGAATGAATGAATGAATGAATGAATGAATGAATGAATGAATGAATGAATGAATGAATGAATGAATGAATGAATGAATGAATGAATGAATGAATGAATGAATGAATGAATGAATGAATGAAATTTCACTTAATATTTTATTTCAAATTTTTAATTTCTGACTATGTGTTTTTGATCTAATAGGCTCCGACGATGGTTAACTCCGAAACAGTACTGTCAGCCAAGCTCAATAATAATTTTCCTCTCAATAAAATATGAATTCAATAAACTCAGAAGTGTTGAGGTTTTAATAAAAAAGATTATAAACGCACGCTGGGCAACCATTTTTAATGATATAAATATATATATATGTAGATGTATGCATATGTATGTATGTATATAAGTAAGTATGTATGTTTATGTGCGTATATGTGTGTATGTGTGTTTGTTTGTACGTGTGCTGGTTTTCCATCCATAATTTTCAGCCCGTCTTTTCAAAAATAATTTCTCACTAGCGAATTTAATGTACGAGATGAATAAAAATGAGTTCATTTATTTCAATACATTGCC